ACAGTTCAAAATTAAAGGCTCAAATGCTGTACATGAGAGGTTAAGCTCCCCCTGGCGGTTTTACAAGGTGACGCCGGATAGTTTCCGGCAGAGCGTCAAATGACGCGCGATTAACCACGTGACACTGCGTGATACCGCGTGATACCGCGACACGCCCACCGGGGTATGCCGCGAAATACCTCGTACATACAGCTGCATTTGAATACAGTATGCATATGGTATATGAATACAGTATATAATAAACTATACCTGTTTAAAAGTATTTAAAAGTTTTGTTAAAAAAAAGATTTTTTTAGAAAGATAATAATAACAAGATAGTAATATAAATCAATTGTTGGTCACAGTTTTCTTAATAAGAACTGAGACATGAAGGCAGGTTAAGATCTTAAAATCAGCATTTGATCCCTGACATTCACTGTACAAAAGGTACTGTACACATCCAAGGAAATTACTTGGAAAAAAAAAACATCTAACACTCAAATCAGGTAATATTACTTAATGGTGATCAATATCTATCTTATTCTTCATGAAGGTACTCACATTGATTTTACAATGATAGCCTCAGTTCTGTTCTTATTAATATTAAGTATACACGTTTCCTAGAATATCTCCTTGCAGATATGTCACCCTATTATTCAAATAATGTAATTCAATATCTCTTTAACATCTCTTGTTAATAAGTAATAATTGTGAGATGAATGATTGTTCGGTAAACTTATGAAATTAATTAGTGAATATACAGTTTATGCAGTCTGTTTATGTCTTTGTTTACATTTAATACAGGATGCTGTCTTAAAGATATACAGTATAAAACAGTTAAGGAGGTGTACATTATTTAAAAGCTAATGCCATTACACTAGTTTTACAATTTCTCTGCAGCCAAGATGAAATGGAAAGTGCCATTGTATATTGGGATTCCTCCAACCGGCCGACACAGTCACACGGCATTTATTCTTCATGGTCATGTAAGTATGAGGCAGTTGAAAACAGATTGATGTACCCTTATGAAATGCAAGTAGATATGCAGTTTATGTATTGTGAATACAAATATTAACCTTAATAAAATGTCTTTAATTACATGTTCCCCTAGGTGGTATTATTACCGCCAATTACAGTAGAAATTTATCATTCAAGATGTAACTAAAATAATGATTAGTGCATGCTGTGTAACGAAAGGTTTGTTTTTGTGATCTGAAAAGCAAGACCAAAGTGAATTATATATCAAATCTATCAAACCTGTTGCCTGTAATTATAGGGGAAACTATACAGTACTGTATCTATTGTAATGTAACATTCACAGATGTGCCATTGAAACCCAAATGCATTATTTGTACAGATGCTATAACATTTAAAATGATGGTAGTCTAGACCATAATGATGAAACTTTAAAATAGACTTAACTTCCTATGTATTGCATTGCATAATATTAGTCTCAATTTTAAGTTTAATTTTGCTATTCTGTTGATTTAGATGTACGTATTTGGAGGCTCAAATGAAGAGAAGGAGTTTAATGATTTAAACGTGATGAAACTAATAAATCCTTCAGAAAGACAACCAAGTATGTATGCTTTTAAGATTTAAACATAAAGTAATAAAGATGATATTTTAAGAACTGCTACTATATGATTTTACACACCTAAAAATAGGACAGGCAGTGAATGGCCAAGTGGGACTTTTGTTCACCTTCCATATGGCACATGGCCATTATGGAGATGAAACGTGCCACTGCTGCTGATCAAGAAAATCATGCTGTCCAGCTGGACCCACTATGACATCCAGTTCCACCTCTCTCTTTTTTCAAGGCTGTACTTTCTTTTGTTTTTCTGCTTCTTGTTCCCTCTCATTCATGTTTCATCTGGCTTGTTAAATCCTTCTGTGGCTGCTTCACCATTTTCACCAAGGTGCTTCTTAGCTGAGGTCATACAGTAGCTTCTATTGTTTTCCCTTAATCACCCTGAAAAATGTTATTTTTTCTAAATTCTGCAGTACAAGATTGGTCTTTTCTGCAGAATAAATTCTTGAATTTATTCTATGCAGTAACCTTTGTTATATAATTATACATATTAATATATACATTAAATATACATATTTTTATTTTGGCCTATGTCAGAGTACACAAAGGAGTATTAAAAAACTGTTCCAATACTCATTTGTGCCATTTTAACACCTCTCTTTATTTATTCACAATACAAACTGAAACAAAATGAATGCACCTAAACTTTTGTTACTAACTTTTATTAATTCCTAATACAGAATTGTGTGGCCACTCTCTGGACAAACATTAATATACAGTAAATATCTTGTGGCATAGGGGCAGTTGTTAGCATTGCTACCTTGCCGCACTGGGGCCTTGGGTTCAATTCCAGATGTGTAACGGTAGTTGCGCTGAGTTTGTATGGCCTCCTGTATTCACGTGATTTTCCTCCAGGCGCCCCAGTTTCTTCCCACAATCCAAAATAATAGTAGGTTAATTGGCTTCTTGAAAAACTGTCCCAGGTGTGTTTGTGCCTATGTGTGCCTTACAATAGACTGGCATCCTTTCCAAAGTGCACCCATTGCTTGCTGGGATAGGCTCCAGCTCCCCAGTGACCCTAAATTGAGTGAATTTGTTAGACATTGGATGGATACAGTAGCACACAATGGGAGTTAGGGTGCTGCAATGGTATTTTAAAATAGACTGGCCCAGGAAACAAATGATACAACCTTGAGGTACAAACCAGTACAGTTTATGTACAATGTAGGGAAACAACAACAGAAAAGCATGAAGCTCTTCTTCTCAGAAATGGTCAACAGCATTCTGGGTAATCTAGTTCAGACAAGGACCTTCATTTTACCCGAACCTTCAGTTGTACCATACTGGCCAAGGCACGGATAGTTTTCTGTATTGATCATACTGCGGAATTTCCTTGGCAATTCCTTCTGTTGCAGGTACTTTAGGAATCACACTCTGGCATTTCCATTCAATCCTTCTCCAGCTATGGAGCCATCTTCCAAATCCCTTTATCCCCTGCATTAGGGCCCAGCATTAATATTGATGTAGTTGTTTTGTCATCTGGTATGGAGAGACGGGATTGACTTTTAACATTTCCTCTCTATCAGACACACAAAAGGAGATAATACACCATCCACTTGTACGTTTTACCTTGCAGTTAGTTTGGTATGCCATGACAAAGTGGATGGTGTTACAGTGGATACCTGCTACAGTATCTCACCTCACAGTCATTACATAAACAGCTCCCCTCATAGGAGCACAGCACCCCTGTGGGATCTTACTGGGGACATGATGGACTTTCACATGTACTGCTTGAGCCACTAATTTGTCAGTCCGTGAAGACTACCTTCTTGTTATTTGTCACATTGAATGGCATGTCAGTAAACTCCAGGCATTATCCACATGACTTCATTGTTCAGTCTTTCTTCTGACCCTCTCTGAAGTGACATTAACGTCAAACCTAGCCTTTATTCTCAAGGTGTTGTCAACCTTCCACTTTAATCATCTGATTGTAGTGTAAAGCCTTTCAGTCATCCCCTCTACCTTCTTCTTATTCCTGTCTACAGGAGGCAGTCTGGGAATGTGATGCCTATATGCTGTACACTCTCAAAGCATATCATTACTGATGATAGCACATCCATTGACAATCTGTCAAGCCACATCTTGGCTTCCTCTATTTTTGTACATTCCTGTAATTTGAATGTAATACTTCCATCAGGATTCCTGTTGGACGTTTCCTCTGAGAGTCATATTCGTATTCATTGAACTACACAGACAAATCAGAGAACAGCTAAGTTTTGCACAAAGTTCACAGACAAATCAGCTCAGTTTTGCACATTTTGCAGATTTCATTGCTATGAATATTCACTAGGTCATAATCTTTTGTGAAGACATCAGCGCACTTTGCACCAGGAGCCCGACACTACCACCGAGTCACTTAGATTTGTCACATTTTAAATGCTGGTTCCAGTATTTTAGTTCTTAATCACTTGTCCTCTCTTGGGGAGCACAGTCATCTTCTTCCTCAATTTCTTTGTTCTTAAATCAACTGACAACTCACAGCTTAAAATAATACTTCTGTATTTTTGTATTTACACCTGATTTCTTCTATTTGTAATTCTTTGATGATCACCTAGAACTAGAGAATTACAAATTAAATCAGCAGTAATTACCTAGGAAAGATACAAATACATTTAAAACATACTTTAATTTAGAGACATTAGGAAAGTCAGTAATTCAGTATTAAGTAACTGAGTGGTTAAGGCTTTTTAGTCTGGACTAGCAGGTTGTAGGTTCAAATAGACTGTAGACTGTTTAGTCTGTTTTGTATGGATAGATATCCCAGGTGTCACGGCTGAAATTTCTCATCCCCGAACACCTCCTGTTTTCTGAGACCAGGGTCTGGAGGACCTTGCCCCGTTATCCCAGGATCTCCATGTCGGTTGTCTGTTCGTGTTTCCTCCATTCCTGGGAATTTTAACCTTGTCACATCTCAAGATGGATCTATTGTTAATGTACTCTTGGACTGTGCCCTGACCTGCCTTCGGACCTGATCGGCTTTGGATGCCACTCTTTGTCTCCCCCACTCACTGTCTCAAGGACTGTCAGTGTTATTTTGTGCACCATTAAACCCCTGTGTGTTTTCCCATACCACGCATCCTGTTTCCTCCAGCTCTTACTGCATCGCATAGGGTCTAATACAAAACCCGACACGGACTGCAGACCCTGTCCATAAGACCAGGAATGGCAGCTCCAGTCTTCAAGGATCACAGAGTTATTTGATATTCATTCCGTCACTAATGTTAATTAACGGATTGATATAATCACCTTTAGCTCTTAATCAGCAGCTAATTGAAATGTTCTTCCAAAACCCATAGCACTCTGCCCCTAAAGGACTAAAGTTGTCCATCTCATGTAAATCATCCCATTGGGGAGACACAATTAAGCAGAAAATTAATATGTATTATTGATAATTTAAGAAAATATGCTATTGCTTACTATTGTTTATTAAGGTTTTCATAGAACTTGCTGGTCTCATTAATTGAACATTAGGCATCCTCATCAATCTCTAGTCTTCAAATTTGATGTTATGCAACTTCACATCTTTATTCCAGTTCTCTCTGCTGACATACAGTATTTGTTATAAGAAATTATTTAAGCTCATCTGAACAGAATCGTTTTGAAGTATTTTGCTATCATTCTCAATGCTTACTTGTTCCTTCACTGTCAAATTCCTTTACATCTTCATCCACTGTCAAAATGTACTGTATGCAAATTAGTCAAATGTAATGATTTGCTTTGCAATGAATTTTACACCTCATGAATTTATCTTAGCTGTACGTGATCATTAATGTGCTTGCAGTTGCTAGGCAACAAGGTGCCTTAAGAGGGAAGAGTCCAGTCTTCCTTGGCAAAGGTGTCATAATAGTTATACCATACCAAGATGCAGTTTAGAAGACACAAAATTACATTTTATGTCCTTTTTACATGTGCTTTTAAGTTTCAACATTTGCTTTGCCTCTACTCTAAGAGACAAAAATGATTAATTATATCCAAAACATTGTTTAAGCACAACAAAATAATGATCACAAAAATCGGCAATTTTACTGTACCTTAATCAACTATTGTCCTTTTCAATGACTGTTCTCAGTATCACATCATCATTTCCAATGCATTAAACTCTAGATATAAAGGCCTATGTTGTACCTTGGCCATTAATGTATTTTTAAATAAACCAGGCTTAATATCTGTGATGTCATAATTAATTGTAAGTATGAATGAGTCGAAATACAGTATGTGTAAGGAAAAAATATAACTTTGATTATTTCACAGAACGTATTTTGAAGAAAATATTTGAACAATGTAAGTTCATATTATTTTCATTTCAATGTCAACATTTTAACCACTTTTTAATCATTGAAGTCATTCTTGTTTTTGTTTGCCTTTGTGATGGAAGTAATGAAGGAAATCCTGTCTGAATTTGGAATCCAGGGAGTAAGCAATTCGTAAGTCTTTCTTAAATAGTTCCAGAATTTTGCATTCCCCATGCATTCTTTTGTATTATACAGTGGTTCAGTATACATACCATTTAACTGCTTTTGGTTGAATCTTTGAAGATTTTAATGTAAAGTCACAGTATGAGGAAAAACAGATTACTTACGCTGTCAAACCCCAACTGTTCAGTTGAACTAATTTTGGCATTTTATTTAAAACTATCACACCATCTGAACCTTTTCAGCTGGACTTTTTGATTTTTTAAATTACACAGACACACTTTACCTGAAGGACATCTTTTGCATTTAACGAAAAGAATAAAAAAATTATAGCACGAGGTAATGCAGACATGTAACAAAATTTTGCCTTTGCTCATTCTGACTTTAAATTATTTTCATGTGAATGCAAACAGCATACAATTCTGATTTACTGTATATTCATTCACAGAAAATCTTCTAAAAATTAACAAAATAAACTTAAATATCACCAATATAATACATTTACAATTACTTTTTTGATACACCTACCAATGGTCTGAACACTGGACTAGTTGCTAGTGACATATTTTTCCTTCACTGGATCACATAGGTATCTTCAATAGTGCTAAAGATACTCCAGAACACATCACACTCTTCCACTGTTTAATGATCCAATGCACCTGACCCCTGTAGCATTTGTGTACTTCTTCTTAAATTTAGTCATGTTGTCCTTGGTCTTGTATACTGAAGACCATAACACATATTTACAAACTTTTCTTTAAAAAAAGCAGCATAATTTAAGAATTTGGTTTCTTGAATTACATTGCTAGGACCCATATATGGTTCTACAAACATCTAAAATTTCTTATTTGAGTCTTTATGTCAGTTCAAAGGTGGCACAAGCAGCCCAACTTTAAATTTATTTTTTTTACTTGCATTTAAATTTTTACTCTGAATATTGTATTAAAGAAATTACATTTTTATTATAAATTAATAAAGTATTCTCACACATTTTTGAAAGATTTGTTTTCTTATCAGATGCACATGATTTGTAGATTGTCACTAATGTTCTATTTAAATATATTCACTTATTAATATATTCACGCCCTGTCTCTCTCACACCTGAAGAAGGCTCCACGGCCGAAACGTTGTGTTCTCTTTCTTCTTTTTTTCAGCATGGAATAAACCTATTACTTGTTAATATATTCACTATCAGTTGACTAATAATAACAATTCATAATATATTCACTATTAGTTAACTGTTCCTGTTAACTAATATTTCAAACACTAACTTCCTGTACCTTCCTGTCCACTCCATTGCTGAGGTCTGTGGTGAGCTTTCCTATATTTGCTTATTTCTTCTCACAAGACATGAAATTTACCAACTGTCCCTTTGGCTCCTCCCTTTGGTTACTCTTGTAACCTGGATTGCAGCATGGCCAGCTCTTCCTATCCATTCCTCAGAAATTATAAATCAAGCTATTTGCATGGAACCAAACAGGTTTTATACCTGTGTTTCTTTTATACATTTAGATTTGCACCTACAAAGGTTCCTAATGTCAAGTATGAACTTAGTGACCCTCCTTTTCCTACAAGAATAGAATCACCTCCCCCCGTCCAGGTAAGTATACATGTCAAGTTGCATTACAAAACTTACTCACATATAATGGTTCTTTGGGAGTAAGGGCAAGTTGGTCTATTAGTTTTTTATATCATAAAATGTATTGCACAGTGTTCCATACCTATGTGCCTTCTGCTTTCAACTTTAAGTTTCTTCTATTCTTTATGAAATTAATTCTCTTCAAATCACTTCAAATACATTCAGATTTATAAGAATATATACTGTAAGCAGCAATGTTACAAACAATTGGTAATATTTGCCATATGCCTTCAATGTAATATGACTGTTATATTCAAATAAATATTCATAACACAGTAACTTTGTGTGGAATAATATTTCTGAATTAACGTGCAATGTGTCAAGGCAGCTGGTGTTTTTAAAGACAACAGATGTGAATTATAGATTCGATTTTATGTCGCTCCTGGCATTGAACCAGATACTAAATCAATGATTATTTATTTAATTTTACATCATTTTGTTTTGTTCTGCCTAAGACAATTCTTTTTAATGTATTTTTTCTTTTCCTTAATGAAAAGGCCAAGCACACAAAAAGTATAGTCATGTAAACAAGTCAGTTAAACTTATACATTTAATTATTGCAAAGCAAAGTGTGAAAATCATTAGTATAATTTATTGCAAAAATCAGTTTTGAGTTTATACAGAGAATTTACACAAATGATCAAATATAACTTGATGATAGTGTCTTTCTCAAAATTTTGACCGTAGATAATATTAACAGACGCTTTGTATGTTTAGCTAGCAAGCAGCAGGGATTTCAGTGCTGTTCGTAATGAAGCCATGGAGACAATCAACAGAGCATTTGCTATGCTGGACAATGAGTTCCTGAAGCTGGATAAGTATGTATTTTATATGTAATTTCTTGTTTATATTAGATTGTTTAGATGGAATGCGTACACATGCATATTTTCAAATATACTGTCTTCAACTAAAGTACCTTGCAGAAGTATTCACCCCCTACCCATTATATCATACTTAGATTATTTATGAATAATTGATATGCTGTACAGTACATATTTCTCAAATATTTTTTTCAAAATCATAATGATCAAACTGAACACTGTCATAAGTGAAGTGCAATTTACTATTGCATGAGTATTCAAGTCCCCTAAGTGAGTGGGACCATCATTAAGACAGTACTTGGTGAAAGCACCTTTGGCAGCAATTACTCCTGTCAGTATTTTTGGATAGGTTTAAACCAGCATTTCACAGTTGGATGTTATAATTGTATCTGTTCCTCTCAGCAACATTGCTCTAGGTAGGGGTTAAGTCTATGTTAAAAAGCAGAAGGAAAAAACACGATTTGACACCTGAAGAAGGCTCAACAGTCAAAATGTTGATTTTTTTCCTTCTTTCTATGTTTCAGAGTGGACTTAACCTCTACTTCTTCCTTTGCAGCCAGCTGATCTGAAACACTTCAAAATTGCTCCAGTTCTAATAAGTTAATTGAGTGTAGTTAATGGACTACAACTGTCAAGTCTCACCTTAATTTTTTTATTGGATTCAAATCCACATTTTGAGCTACTTAAGGTCATTACATCTTGTCTTGTCAGACCACTCAAATGCGGCTTTGACCTTGTACTTTAGGACATTGTGCTTCTGAAATGTAAATATTGAAACATAGTTTAGATTCTTGATTAAAAAACTAAAATATTCCTCCACTTCTCTTGAATTTTGTACCATCCATTTTTCCCTCATTCCTGAAAAGCTTTTCAGTCCCTGCTCATGAGAAGCATCCACATAATATGATGCTTTGTAAACAGTTGGGAAAGTGTTGACAGGGGGATATGCTGCACTGGATTTGTGTCAGACATAGTGCTTTGCATGCAGACCAAAAAGTTCATTATTTGTGTCTGAACATAATGTCTGCATATATCTAATACAAAATTTAATAGGAGTCAATGTGAGTTGAGGCTTCTTTCTTTCATATTGTTATAAATAGGATAAAGAAAACAGAGAATTATCCAAAATACACTGAGTGGGACAATCAATAATTCAAATAAATAATCATAACACCCAGGTTGTAAAGATTATGCCAAGAATTTACCCGAACAGTTGGTAAAATAAGAGAAACGTAATCTTTGTTCTTTGACACAGTTTTGGTGAAAAAAGTCTCACAGACTGGCTCTCTTATGAATCTGGTCTCTTACAGTTGATTTGAACATGGATCTCCAGTGTCTCCATTTTCTGTGTTCTTCTTTACCTCTTTCTGGACTGTTGGTGACTCTCAATCATTTACTCAGACCTTAATCTCAGTTCCTTTCTTGCTTTGAAGCTGGAAAAAAACAGATTTTGACACTATACATTAGCTAGATGTCCAATGTATTGAGACACCTCAATAGAATCTTCCAATAACCGTAACAATGTATAGGTCAGCCTTGTGCACAGCCCAGGATATTGTTGATATAGAAGCGGTGACTCCCATCTAAGATGGAACTTTGAATTTAGTATTGATTTACAGTAACATCCTTAAACATTTTTACATTTTTATGCTTGCCTGTCTGCTCAGTTTCAAAGGGTAGCCTGATCTAATTAGTGTCTAAGTGGTATGATGCACATTCCACTTATTAATGATGAACTCTACACAAAGAAATAATTTACCTTATACTAATCTGTATCTCTCTGCCACCTTATTCCTGTTTCAAAAGACACCATTAAGACTTCTTGGTCTTCATGGTATCACACCTAGATCGGCGGATGACATGGGAGACTGCAGCTTTGCAATGGGCGAGTGCATTTCTCCTGGGGCTGCAATTCAAACACACTTGGGCTGCCTTTGGATTTGACCTTCCCCCAATCAAGCCAACACCCAATCATCCATTTAACTTAATTTAGATTCACTGTTCAATCCCCAAAACACCACAAAAAGGTGCCCTGTCATTGATCTACTGAGCTCCTGCTATGCTCAGCTCTTACCTTAAGTCATGCTACCAGCAAACCTGAAACCCCAGTGCCTGTCACTCTAAACTCAAGACCCAAACACCCAAACCCTGCCTGAAACGTGTCCTGCATGGTGTGCTTCCAGCACCTTTACCATGGTGTTCTTCCTTGCCTGTTCCTGCCCTGTTTCCAGACTGTTTTTCTTCTCCCAGACAGTCAATTCTTGCTTCTTCTTGATAAACACCATCACCCTTTGGAAAACACTGACTCCCAGCCTGTGGATTCCCTGTTTGTCTGAGGAACTGGGCTCTTACCTGCAGCAGGCTGCATCATAACACATGGTTGATATGTTGTATAGGAGTTATGGCATGAAATGAATCTGTCTGAGAGAACAAAGAGAAAGATGCATTTGTTTGAATTCAAATACTCAAGTATTCAATATAGACCACATCATTAATTGTATGGCCTTTCAAAGTAATCTTTTGCACTTTAACTAATTTAAGGTTACCATAGCAATGGGATTAAAGCTTTAAAGCTTTATAATTGTCTTATAATATATTATAAGAGCTCTGAATGTGTGATCTGTTATTTGAACTATTTAGGTGATATCAGAAGTTTTACCACTTTGCAGTGTAGAAATTATATATAAAAAAACATGGAAACTTTGCAGAGGGTTGAATTATTTTCATGAATAATTTTACATTTTTATATTATTCTCTGTGGTGTACGTCATAGGTAGGTAGTATATATGTACAATTCAAGTGGAGTAGTGTTTAAGAAAAGAAAGCTCTATGCACATCTTATCTGAGCTGTATGCAAGATATGTAATGATATCCACATGTTAATTCATGTTTAAAGAAATACTGATTTTAGTATACTTAAATAGTTGTTACAAAAATGCTAGAATCTGTTAAAAAAAAGTATGGTGCATCCATTTCACGAGAGACTCAAATAAGTATTTTAAGTCTTCTAAATTTTAATTTGTGTTATTCTTGTGGTATAATCTATGAAAAGGTCGTGGTATATATTTCCAAAACATTTTTGCTTCAGTGTAAACTTTGATCAAACTGAAATTTCTTTCAGTCTACTTGTTAAAGTAGAATACATAAATGATGGATAAACTTACACCACTGTAGACAGCTGTGGGTATTTCACTCTCATATCTTATATATCTAGGATATAGTCAATGTATATGAATGTTTGATGTGTGTGTTTTTTATTTTCCAAATACATTATTTGAATATGTTAGAATATTAATCCATAATTACTCAAACCTTTTGGAAAAATACATTTTCATTAGCTGAAAATCTCAGCAGACATAAGCTTAATTTATCAAACGGAGAAACAATATTATTATTCCAACTTTTCATATGGCATCTTCAAAAGCATCTTCAAAAGCAATAATCTTAAAAATGTTTTACAATATATAAAAAAAAACAAAAATATTGTTGAATTTACAAAACTGCATTTAATTCTCAAGTTAGACACAGTACATAAAACAACCAGCAGAATCAGCATTTAGTAACACAGGCACAGCAACAAAAGAATAATTCACCCACAGAGTAGACATTGGTGATACATAGTAAACCAGAATTAGGTGAGAGAAGTTCAATGGAGTTTACAGATAACATATTGGCTAGAAATTCTGAGAGACAAACCCAGAACCTTGGACATAAACAGAAGGATTTTAAAATCAACTGAAAATCTGGCAGGAAGCCAGTGCCTGGAGCCCTAGATAAGCATGATATGATCACTTGTGTATAAGTCAGTATATTAGCTGCTAAATTCTGAACTACAGCACATTGCCACACATAGCATTATACTCCCTAAAGAAACAAGGGCATGAACAATTTTAGGATTATTAATGGTATTAATTGATTTCCTCCTGATGCTGACACTGATCTGTGAAGAAAATAAAATTATTGATACACTCCAGGAAATAAAAAATGCATTTGTTAGATTTGGAGAATGTGTTTATTAGATATGTACAATTAAGAGCAAAATGTAAAAATAAAAAAAATAATTCATGCTACTTATGTTTTCATCAAAATTTTGAAATGGCTGTTAAATTTATTTTCATTGGTTGGTTAATCCATATCCTCCCATTTGTTATTCTCTGTAAAAAATGATGATTCTCCTTTTTAAAGGTTTGTTACTGTATGTGTAGCAACTAATAGTTGATAACTACATCTAATTAATAAAACTAACTAATTAAATTTAATTATAATTAGTGGGCTTTTAAGTAAATCAAATGTAATTGATGAACTAAACAGTGCTGCCACACATCATCCAGGTGGGTGCTGCACTCCATCTCTCCTTCCGACAAAGGAAAGAGCTGTGGGAGGTGCTGTCCTTTGGATGAGACATTAAAATATGGTCCAGATTACATGGTTGTTAAAGATCTTGTGGAAGTTTTAGAGGTTTGGGTGCTAAACCTTACTAACGTCCAATCTGAATCTGGGTTTGTACATTCTGATCTTCTCACTCAGATCATTGTTGTTGTTGTTGTTGTTGTTGTTGTTGTTAATGGTGGTGGTGTTGGTTTTGTTGTCCTTGTTAATATGCACTAAATGATGATTATTATAATATGGATGAACATTTACTTCATACTATATATACAGTATGATGCACTTTATTATATTTTTAACAAACAAGTCACAACAAATGCACTTTTTTAACTTTTTTAAATGCACATTTTTGAATGCACATGTGAATGGATTTACAAATATAACGTATACTATACAGTATGTAACAATGGTATCTTCTGTCTACATGTAGTGAAAAGTCACTTATCGCTCAAGCTGCAATTGCTCTCCAGCATGAAAGAGAAGTCTACAGCATCCAGTATCAAAAACAACAACAGGTCTGTATTTATTTGGTTCACATTTAATGTTTGCTTTCAAAAATAGTAAAAACAATTTGCCACAAGGACCTCCTATCATGGTCTATATCTCTGTGTTACAGAAAAAATAAAGACATACACCTGGAAATATTCTAAAGTTTTCTTTGATGATAGTGCTACACTGGGGGAAACAAACACCTGGAAAATTAAGCATCATACAATTGTGTTACAAACATTCACTATAGGTGGTAGCAAAATTCATTTAATATATTGACTTACTCTGTTATGTAGTTCTTGTACTTGCTTTTAAGAAAATATAAATGATCCAACAGAAGTAGATCATAACTGATACTATTATTCTTCTGTAGCAGCACAACGACGCTTTTATTTGACCTTCAGCACAGATGTTAGAATATTTTTGGTAATGTTTGACCATAGTTTCCAAAACCATTTTTCCCTATATCTCGAGTTATTCTCAAGAGGATCAGCCTCACATGCACTAATCTTGCATAGTTAAAACTATAATAAAGAATCAGAATCAGAAAGAAAGAATCAGAAGAACTGACCATTGTCTTTCTTTAGGAACTCCAGGAAATGCTAGAAAAACACAAGGCCCAAAATGAAGCCTGGCTAAAAGCCCGAGCAGAGGAGAATGACAAGGAGAGGAAGGAACTCTATAAACTACGGGTAATCTCTGCTTCTGCAAGTATTATCAATGATTTCAATGATAGCCAGCAGCCATATCACCCTGCAACTCACAACTGGCAACCCACTGAAGCTAAGCAGGTGTGAGCCTGGTCAGTACCTGGTCAGTACCTGGATGGGAGACCTCCTGGGAAAAACTAAGGTTGCTGCTGGAAGAGGTGTTAGTGGGGCCAGTGGGGGGCGCTCACCCTGCGGTCCATGTGGGTCCTAATGCCCCAGTATAGTGACGGGGACACTATACTGTAAACAGGCGCCGTCCTTCGGATGAGACGTAAAACCGAGGTCCTGACTCTCTGTGGTCATTAAAAATCCCAGGGCGCTTCTCGAAAAGAGTAGGGGTGTAACCCCGGTGTCCTGGCCAAATTTCCAATTGGCCCTTACTAATCATGGCCTCCTAATAATCCCCCTCTATGAATTGGCTACATTACTCTGCTCTCCTCCCCACTGATAGCTGATGTGTGGTGAGCGTTCTGGCGCACTATGGCTGCCGTCGCATCATCCAGGTCCATCCATTGGTGGTGGTGGAGGGGAGTCCCCATTACCTGTAAAGCGCTTTGAGTGGAGTGTCCAGAAAAGCGCTATATAAGTGTAAGCAATTATTATTATTATTATTATTTCGGTAATCAGAAAGCACCAACGTGTCTTTTTCATACCTAAAACAGAAAACTATTTTTTATTAATAACACATTTGTCACTGGCTGCAGAGGGCGCTCCTTCTCTGTTCTGTCCCTAGTTTCCGGTCTGCTGTCCTTCCGGTCCCTCTCTTTCCCTTGGGCTATATATTTCCGGGTCTTGCACTCTGTCCTCACTCAGCATTGATGTTCGGATGTCCTGAGACCCGCCTAGCACCAGGGCGCCCCACGTTCGCTCCCTGAGGGCATAGGTTTCTATACGGCATTCCTGAACTCTTTGCACTAATGAGTCCGGGCCTTTTTTCCGTCTCGCCGCTACACATATGGGTCTTTTTCCGTTCTCCTACTCCCCACGGTTGGTCCCTTTGGACGTCCCTGACAGAATGCTGAGCCACTTACTGACCCCGCGAGTGGCGCTTTTTGTCTTGCCGCAGTTTTTTGTTGTTGTTCTCTGGGCTGTTTTTTTTTCAGTTCCTCTATTCTAATCACTGGATATCACTCCGATCTTCCGTGCCTGTGAGTGGGTCCTGCACCTGGCTTTCCTCGGGTAGATCACTCCGATTTCAGTGATTGAATGTTGAGCTGGCTTGCCTATTCTTATTACTGGATATCACTCTGAGCTTCTGTGTCTGGAGTGGGTTCTTGTGCCTGGCTCTTCCTGGTCTGGCTCTCTCAGATATCAGTGATAGAATGGTAAGCTTTCTGCCGTTCCTCCATTCTTTTCGCTGGATTTCACTCCGGGCATCTGTGTCTGTGAGCGGACTTCGGTCTGGCTTTCCTCAGGTTGTCCACTCCGATATCAGCGTTAGAATGTGAACGTGCTATTTGCCCAGTCTGCGGTATTTTTCCCCGGGGTTTTTGGGTTTTTTTGCTTTTTGTTTTGACTTTTTTTTCTTCCTGGTTTCCCCTCCTTTTTGTGTCTCGGAACTTTGGTTCCTACCTGTTTTTGGTTCCTATCTGTTTTGTGTGGTTTGTCTTCCTGGTCTTTCCCAGGTTTTTGTCTGTTGTGTTTGTGCTTGTGTACTTTTTGTTTTAAGTCTCCGGAGCTCTACTCTACCCCCCCTTACTCCACCCAATAAAGGTTTATACCCCGGAGGAGGGGGTAGCTCTCAGCCGTGGACTCCCGGAGGTTTCCTTTCAGTTAAATTAGGTTTTTCCTCCCCCCAGTGCTGTGCAGCTTATTTATTTGTATGGGCGTCAGGAGCCGCCCATGAAGGGGGGGGGGGGGGGTACTGTCACGCCCTCTGCAGCCAGAGGGCACTCCTTCTCTGTCCTGTCCCTAGTTTCCGGTCTGCTGTCCTTCCGGTCCCTCTCTTTCCCTTGGGCTATATATTTCCGGGTCTTGCACTCTGTCCTCGCTCAGCATTGACGTTCGGATGTCCTGAGACCCGCCTAGCACCAGGGCGCCCCACGTCCGCTCCCTGAGGGCATAGGTTTCTATACAGCATTTCTGAACTCTTTGCACTAATGAGCCTGGGCCTTTTTTCCATTTCGCCGCTACGCATATGGGTCTTTTTCCGCTCTCCTACTCCCCACAGTTAGTCACTTTGGACGTCCGTGACAACATTAGCTGGATAAATGTTTAGAGACAACCCACCTGTCTGCAATTTCCCTCAGGGGATCAATAACATATCTATCTTCTAATTAAAATGCAAGATAACAGGGATTTGTCAAAACAGAGATTTTACCAAACTTGTTATTGTGAAACCATGGTTAACTTCATCCATATTTTTAGAGGGGAAAATTAAGGTATTCTTTTGAGATGTAAACTAGTGTTGCAAAAGATGTTTTCACTTGGAAAATCATTTTTTCAGGAGGAGATATTGCAGGAGCAAAAGAAGCTTAAAGAAGAGCAAGAGAACATTCAAAAACGAAGTGAACAGCTGCTGTCCATCATGCAGCAGTTTAAAGGCATGTAGAACAAAAGAGTAATCTACAACTTAGTTTATGAGAACAAATTCAGTCATCAACTGTGTTTATGTTTTATCATTATTTTTTAATTAAGAAATGACTTGTCATTTTTAAGTTAACGGGTAATGAAGATGATTTTTGAAAGGTACTGTACTTTTAATTAGATTTCTTCTCAGAAATATATAAGAAACAACAGGAGGGCAGAATTCAAAATGACTAACAAGACATGCCTTTTTACCAAATTTAGGCCAGAATAGTGAGATAAATCATTTTAAAGATAACTGATTAATTGACCCAATTCAACCTGAAAAACGTAAAAGTGCTCCAACCTGGTGCTACATGCATGGCAACTGAATCTGAAAAAATAACAAAAGTAAACATCATTCAGTTTTTTCAGTATAACCTAATAGTTAAAGACTTAATACCGAAAACTGTATTTGTTTCCATTACACTGCTACACTGTGTTAGTTCATTATTCTGAACTCTTATCAGATGCCACACTGTTTCTGTTGTACCATGGTATTCAACTTTGAGACAGTGGTGAGTAACATAAAGTAGAATCAAGGAGTTCAGAACAAAATGTGACGGGAAAGCTGGCCATCATTAAAACAGATTCCCATGCTTTTATACTAGCCAACCATTTGCTACCTGCTTCTTCCAATTCAGGGTCATAGGAGAGCCTATCCCAGCAAGCAATGGGAGTACAGCCTTGTAGGAATTTGGTCTGGTACTAATTGAACTCGTGAATTTTCTAATGTAACCATGAAATGCTGTATGCTGATTAATCTTACTATAAGTTACAGGCAGGGTCTAACACCCTGGACAGGATGCCAGTCCATTGCAGGGGAGACACATTCACACCTAGGGCCAATTTTCCACACTCACTCCCAGAAGCCTATAATCTACTGTACCAGTATGTTTTTGAACTGGGGGACGAAATGGGAACACCCTGAGGTAACCCACACAAACATGGGAAGAACATACAAATTCCATGTAAATAGGATAGGCAGATAGGCCCTAGAGCTGTGAGGCAGCAATGCTAACCACTGTTGCACTAGGCTGACCTTTTACACATAAGCTTTTATTAATTTGCAATTAGAATGTTAAAATGGAGAAGTAACCAGGAATATAACATTTTCATTTCACAGTTTCATTTAGAGCTTTTAAAAAAAGCTAACGGCAACTGAGAACACCAGGTAGGACCACAATGGTGTATTAAAAATAACATTTTAAGAAACAGAAATAAATTTGCTGTAGTGGTAGGTTGTGAACATGAAGATGGTAATGTCTGTTAACATTTTTATAAGCTGATATTAAAGTTATAAAACCAGAATTGGAGTGATCAACACTATACTTCCACTGCTGACAGATGTGGAAAATGGCATTTTCATCAATAGTAAATGGTACCAAAGTTATTGATTCTTTGAGCATCAAAATTATGGGGTTCAACGGGCACTCGTTTTATTCAGAGACAGATTTTCTATAACATATATACCAAACATATAAATATTTTTAAGTATGGCACTTCATTTTTTTCCTCAGGGTAATAAATTCAAATGTCTTTTTTATTGTCTATCCATTCTGTACTGCCTTCATAAGTCATTCTATTAGAAATTGTATTTCTAGTACTATTTAATTTATACTAGTGATAAAAGTAATGGAGGAAAAAATCCAGAAATCTTCTTTAAATTTAGCTAAGCAAGAAAGAATTGACATATGCTTTGAGTTAGGAGTGTAGTCCAACCCAGAGTCAGAGCAGTTTATCCTGGATTATGCAGTATTAAGCAGGCTAGAAAGCACCATCCCACACTCAGCTAGGACACTGGACCATCACAGAGATGATTCCCCAGCAAAGCTGGTCTCCATTGATATGGAGCTGGGTAGACTGGTGGAACTGGGATAAAGGCAACAATATAAGGCCCATATCAGGAGTCTGAATCCACAACCTACCAATTATGAGTCCAAAAACCTACCCACTAAACTACACCACCCCCACAATGTGTATAAGGATCAACAAAGCATTAACCATCTTAAAAGGGTGTATGTTTTCCTGGCATTTTTCTTGCAAGTTTGCTACTCAAAATATCCCTTATTATTAGAAATAGAAGCTGTAGATACAGTTTGCTTTTTAGCACACCACACAACTGTTTGACTGTGTCTCTTTGACCCTTCAATCCAATCCTTCCCCTAGAACTTACTTATACATACTCATCTTTTTTTGTGAAGCTCAGCCCACAATTTTACAATGAGATTAAAATGAGCCAACTGGGGGAGGCCAGCTCATTACTTTCAAGGCCAGGTTTTCTCCCTGAGGCTGTTAAAGAATTAAATATTGCTTGATATTGCTTGTTTACATATTTACCAATTCTCCTATTGTATCTGTGCACTGCCAAAAAAGCCCCAAGACCTTACAGTACTTCCTTCGACATGTACCTTACGTTTCACTTTGAATATATAATAAGATTTTTAATGCTGAAATTTGCAGCCATTGTTGCATCCACCCATAGTACTTTTCACCATTTCTCCTTTGGCAATTATTTTTGGAGCTTATCCCAGAAGCTGGAATGACAGAATGCCAGTCCATCACAAGACAAACATATCCAATAGCCAACTTAGAAATGAATGTTAACCTGGGCAACATGCCTGTGGAAGAAAATTGGACTACCTGGAGAAAACCCATGCAAACACAGGGAAAATATATATGTGTGCACAGCTGATCCTGGGCTGCTTTTTCGTATCATCTAACCTGTAAGAATACATAGTTAACAAACTCGCCAGCAAGCAAAAAGAGGCAAACTAAACCACGCTTGCACTTGGAAAGCAGCAAATTGGATTTGCAAGTTCAACATTTTGTGTTTTAATATTATTAATAAATATTCATGAAATACTGCGTGTAGTGACTTTTAAGGACTTCGCAGATGCATTATTTTACTAATTTAGTACACAGGTTTTTAATTCTGTTTTATTTGTATTTTCATTCTGTTTATTAATTTGTACCTGTCACTATTGGTTTTGCATTATTAGTAGTAGTAGCAGCAGTAGCAGTAGTATTTTAAAGTGTTAAAGCTACTTTCTGTTACAATGTTAAGTATACTACATTCAACCAAATAAAAATTAAATTTACAAACAAATTGTAAATTTCTAATGGTGGTGTTTGTAAACTGCTTGCAATACAAGTGATTGAGTTTCTTGTTATAAAAGGCCTCATGGAGGTTTTCCTATGAAACGTTCAGGAAGTGTGTTCCTCCAATCACCCACTGCCCCTGCACATTTTGGAAATGCAAGCTGTTCCACAGCTTTGTAAATAAGTATTATTATGGTTGTTAGTAATTAGAATACATCAGTGCACCTTTAAAACAACTTCGTCTGATGATCAGATGTCACAGGGCTCCTCCATTGAGCGGCAATCTGTAACCCAGCCGTTACAGATTTATTTACAATACAGCTGGCAGCAAACCAAAGGAAACAGCAAAGAGGGATTTCTGAATAACAATTAAACAACCATTCATTTATTTCATTTTGTCGATAACAGTAATTAGTTACCTTTTAAAGATTGTAGAATTTATCATTACATTTTTAGGGATTGTTTAATTTGCAACTAGAGTCAAAACTGTAATTTATTATGTGTGGTACATGCTTACAATACACTACATTCAGTCAAACAGAATAGGTTTTAAAACTAGTTTGCTAATAGTGGTAGGCAGACCCTGATTGTATTATAGCTAAATAAAAAGATTTGCTGTTTAAAAGAATGTGTGCGTAGATGATTTCCAGTGAAATTAACAGTAAGTGTGTTCCATTGACTGCCTCTGAATATAGGAACATAAGAATAGGTGCAAACTATTCTAGCTATTTTTTTAAGAAGCTAATTCTTCTCATTCAGCCATGTCTTTAAAAAAGCTAGGGTATCGGCTTCGACAACATGGTTGGGCAGTTTGTTCAAGACACACTCGCAACACTTTTTGTAAAGAAGTCAGTCCTATTCTAAATTTTTAATTAGCCTTTAACATAGTTGCCTCTGTTGTCCTCTGGGTCATTTTTTTGTAACTTGTAACTTCAATTTACATCACAATAAATGAAGGGTATGCACAGCGCCATATTAGTGATTCAGAACGAGACAGCAAAACTTCCTGTGAGGTGAAGCGGCCCTATACATTGTTAACAAGCAGGCTTGTGAATACATCTCTTTTAATCTAACAGAAATATTGCTCTCATCTTCAAGATGGTTCTGCATGCAAATCACACTGGAAGTTTTCTGTGGTTGTAACAGCGATGTTGCCAAAATTATGATTTACTGGACCCTATGTGATAGCTGGTGAATTTCAGGCATCGGGTTTAAGGGTGAAAGCTGGGTTACTTAGCCAAGTCGAGGAATCAAAATCGTAGTCAAAGCCGTAACACAGGTTGGGAAGCTGGACGGTCAGAAATTAGATAGCTACAAGTTATTGAATACGAGAACTGAGAGCTCCACTGGTAAAACCAGTACCGAGCATTGTGGTGGTGGTGGTAACGAGTACTCTGGGAAGCAGATACTGCGGTGATGAGCGAATGGTGTGATTGGATAATAATTAAATGTGTCTGCGTTATTAGCTTGTACATCACATTACATTAGTTATTACAGTGGCTAGTGAGCAGGAAGGACCACATCACATCACAGTTTGTGTGAATTCTCTCTCTTGCCCATGGCAAGACCAGAGGTTTGAGACAACATGGCAACTTACTGCACTTTTACAAAGTTCACAATTTTGAAATTTTCAAAATGTTTCTATAACATCAATTAATTTATTTCATTTCTGAGATTTAATAACCAGTCTGAGAAATTGGGACTGCTGTTACCCTTAAAGTTTAATGTATCTGAGGAATTTGAACATTTGAATCTTTTGGTTCCCTTGCTCCTATCCTCTGGAGCTGGTCAGTACATGGAAACGTATATACAAATTAACTTACTACTGTTAGTGCTGTGGCTGTAGGTAGTTCTCTTCCACCTAAACCACAATATAGCTAAAGTAGAGAAGCTGATCTCCTCTCATAGTGCTTTAAAGCCCTTTGGGATGAAAAGTGCTATGTAAATGTGAGAAATTATTAATAGCAGTCACACACATTTTTTGTATATATTGTTACTGTAAAATGTAATTTGTTCAGCTTTGAATTTGAGGTTCAGATTCATCTGTGATGATGGTTTTGAACCTCAAATTGAAGGTCAGTGAATAAACCTCAGTTACCCGAAGATGCATGAAAATGAAATATTGATTTTTAGCAGTGCTATTGGAAGTATAGAACCACCAGTATCGCAAGAAGTGAAACAACAACAACAATAATAATAATAATCCTTACACTTACTGTGTATAGTGCTCCACACAAAGCGCTTTACAAGTCATGTTTGGCTGCCATTGCACCAATACACTCAATACACATCAGTGGGGATAAGAATAGGGTAATTAAGCCAAACCATAGATGTGATTTATTAGGATGATTTGAAAAGTCGAGGGGGAAATTTGGCCAGGACAAGGGAGTTAATGCCTCTACTCTTTCAAAAAAAAAAACTGGGATTTTTAATGACCACTGAGAGTCAAGACCTCAGTTTTATGTCTCATCAAAACGACCTTTTTTATAGTATAGTTTCCCCATCACTATATCCATCCTCATCTCTTCCAATCACATAGTTTTGCTATTGTATATGTCATTTATTGATATTCCCACAGAGTAGTTTGCTGACATTTAGCCGGGCTTTTCATTCACAATATGCTAGCCTCAAAATTTTTGGTGTGAATGGGGGTAAAAAGTGCCAGCCTAAATGGAGTTGAACATGTGTAATAAGTGTGAAAGGGGCCTAGGCAACGTACAGTACCACCTTTAGATCAGCATATATACTGTAGCCCTTATCAGCTTTTTGGTCAGAAACAGAATGGTATATTTTACACAGTGTTGATTGTATTCACTTCCGCCCGTGCACACTAATATATAAATAATTAATTAATGCTTAATTGGCAGAACACTGGACATACAGTATTTGGATCAAAGGAACAAGTGATAGGTTTATTCCATGCTGAAAAGAGAAGAAAGAAAACACAACATTTTGGCCATGGAGCCTTCTTCAGGTGTGACAAAGACAGGGCAGTAAGCAAAGGTAATGTAGCGGGAGGACAAAAGTTGGGAGAGAGGAGGAGCGGGGGGTGGGAGCAGAGGACAGACAGAGTGGCCAAGCAGGTAGTGTGAAGTCAGGATAGGTGAAGAGAGGTGTGAAATGAAACCTATAATGAATAGAGAGAATTTAGAAGAAAATTAGTCTGTCGATTGAGATAATGGGGAAGGTGTGATCCTAGATGCAGGATAATTTTAGTTTCTGTAGTCTTTCTGTTAGAAAAACCATCTTTGAGAACACATACAGAGAGATTAATGTGATCATGGCTGTCAGAGGTGAAATGAGAAACAATAGGCTTGGAGAAATCTTTAATCTTCACAGCCCTAACATGTTCTCTGAAGTGGTATCAGAGTCTCCTTCCTGTTTCCCCAATGTAGATGGCTGGGCATTTACTGCAAGAGATACAGTAAATAAGGTTGCTGGAGGTACAAGATGTCATTTGAGTGATCCAGAATTTTCCTGAGGGGCATTGAATGAGTGTGGTGTTAGATATGTACTTGCAGGTGATACAGCGAGCCCTGTCACAAGGGAAAGTGCCTGGCGTGGATGGTTGCTGAGGGCAGTCAAGGGATCTGTGAACAAGAAGGTTAAGATTAGGGAGTGGGCAATATGAGATGATGGGGTGGTCAGAAAAGAGGGCCACAATGGAGGGATCATCCTGTAGGATGGAAAAACTGTTGTTAGTAGTCTTGGGGATAGGAAATGTGTTGCGGTGATAGGGAAGCACCAAAGGAATGCAGTTGTTACGGCGGAAGTTCCTGATTGAGTTGATTGTCCGAGGAGTGTTTTTGGCTCCGGTAAGGGCCATGTCAATAATACTGCTAGGGTATCCTCTGTTGATGAAAAAAGAGTACATTTTGAGGGCTCGGTTCTGGAAAGTGGTGTCGTCGCTGCAGAATCGTCGTAGCCAAAGGAAGTGTGAAAAAGGAATAGAGTTTTTAGTGTGTTTGGAGTGAAATGAGCAATATTGGAAATAGTCGTGTGAATCAGTTGGTTTGTAATAGACCATAGTAGAGAGTCGGGGACAGTTAATGGAGAAGCTGATGTCTAGAAATGGAAGAGTAGTGGAAGACATGTTAACTGTATATTTGAGGAATGGGTGGAAGATGTCCTTGTGGAAGTTGGTGAAGTGATGCAGAAAGTGCTCAAGCTGGTTGTTAGAGCATGTGGCGGCACCGACACAGTCATCAATGTATCACTTGTAGAGGTCAAGGACAAAGCCAGTGTAGGAAGCGAAGAAGCGTGCTTCTACCCAGCCGGCAAAAATATTGGCATAGCTGTATCCCATTCTGATGCCCATGGCAACTCCATTAACCTGTTGGTAAAAAGGTTATTGAATGAGAATGCATTCAGTGTGAGAACCAATTCTGCAAGGCGTAACAGGGTGTGGGTGGGTGGATCAAGCACTGTGCATTTGTCCAGCATGTGCTTGAGGGCTGTAATGCAGTCATTATGGAGAATGATGGTGTAAAGAGATGTGATGTCCATGGTAAAGATATAGCATTTGGGGCCCTGAAATTGGAAATTATTAAAAAGTTGGAGCGCATGGTTGGTGTCCTTGAGGTATGAGGGTATGAGGTATGAGGCAACCAGCGGTCTCATTAGGCTGTAAGTAGCTGAATAGTTGCATGCTGATACGATGGGGAGCCCAGGGGTGTTTGGTTTGTGGATTTTGGGGAGGAGGTAAAATTGAGATACCTGGATGTTCAATGATGAACCGGTTCGCCTCCTGGGGGAGCTCCTTACTGCGGATAAGAAGGGAGATTGATGATACCACTTCCTTTTGGTAGTCAGTGGTAGGGTCCTGTTGGAGAGGGGGGTAGGCAGAAGTGTCAGCTAGTTGTCTAGAGGCTTAAAAAATATATAGGTCCTTAACCCACCCCACAGCAAGGCCCCCTTTGTCCGATGGTTTGATGATGATATCATCCCCGTTGCGGAGAGACTGGAGCGCCTGAATTTCTCCTTG